AAAGGAAATTTTATTGCCAATTGAAAAAGCCCTGTGAGGCGAAACGCGTTTTGGCTGTATTTATATTTTATTGATTCTGTTATTACTAATAAAGTTATATTGAGATTTTTATATATCTTTTTATTATATAATACCATTTTTTATTTTCTGAAACCTGGTACCTGCTATATTGGAACGGCATATGCTCAAGAATCCCAGGTGGGGATAATACCACCTACGTTACCAAAGTGAGCAGTATATCCTGCTCATATACATGTGAGTATTTTACTGCTCTTATTATTTTATCCTTTACACTCATTCAGTGAGCACTATATTGTTTCTTCATCTCTCCACATACCGAGGAGTTTTTCGTATTTTCGCCACCTATATCCTACCAGTGGAGGATCAATGCCACTGAATGCTACTATCACTTGAGCAAGTTTATGCTCAGAAATAGGTGAGTGGATCACCTGCTAAGAGATTTGTCTATCTACTCATTTGCTGTATTACCATCTGCACTATTGGAGTCTTTCTGTTTTCTTTACATGTTCATATACCCACCATCAAACTGAGATACCGCTAATACAAGAAGATCCAGCTAATCTTTGGACTTTTGGACTTTTTCCAGACTCCAGTATTATCACAGGTCCTATTTAAGACTTTTTTAATATTGGGATCATTTTTCCCTGTTTTATTTATATATTTGTTTTATCCCATTTTATATTTACTTTTATTTCCACTACCATATAGCGCGACCTATATATTTTCTTTTGTTCTTCGGGAAGACATGCCCAATTTTGTGGGCATGTTCGCCACTTTTGACAGATCTGGTTATGTGATTCACATCAGTGGCACACCCTTTTAGCCTGGCCATTGACTTCCTGCTTCACTGGACACTGCTGTTAGGGGTATGGATTTACTTGAAAGATGAAAGCGAGAGATTAGCATTGGGTATCTGTTTTCTCATAGTTGCATCCTATGAGTTTCACTCCAGCACCATCGCCATCAGATGTATAACCCTTGGGAGGTATGATTGTTTTTGTGTTTTTGGTCGATAAGATTCCGTAATTAGGCCTATCGAAATTGTCAGCTCCAGGCCCACTGGACTTTTAATCTGGCCCTGCCCTAAACTGATCTGGGTGATTTTTGGATATGTTCGTCACCCAAATCAGGGCTATCATTGGATGTAACATTTATGTATTTTTGTATTTTTATGTATTTTTAGGGTACATTTGGGTTATTTTTTTTTTTTTTAAAGTATGTTTTCTCCTGTGCTTGGAGATAATTGGATTAGAATTAGTACAGTTACTGATCCAATTATCTCCCATGCAGAAAGGAGGGATTGTGTGCCTTGTAACCTTATTGTTATTGGTCTATGAAGTTGCAAATCAGTCTACCATCAGGTCCATGTGGGCATACCCCTTGCATGGGGATTGTCACACAAGGCAAAGTGTGGTTTCCATTAAACAGAGATTCGTTTACCCCTTCATGAAGTCTTGGCTAATGTTTGGGGGATTGGAGAGCTACATACACTCTGGGGATTGCTATATCACAATACTCCCCTGAGTATAACTACTAGCTCGTCTAAGAGCTGTTCCTGCTATGCTCTCTGGACTAGAAGAGGTCTACACGACTGGAAGCTGGATCCTGGTCTTGGGTCCAGGGTGATTGGAGGATGAAGAGACCCTAACCAAACTGCGGCGGTTCGTGGGGTTTACGGCGGTTATGGTGTTCCAGTACAGTGCTTATGGTGCTCGAAAGTACTAGGAAGCAGCAATTGACAGAGGTACCCGGTAGGGTACGTCACAATAATCATTTCGAACACAACAGAACATCATACAGATGAGAGATGATGAGATTTACACCTATTGTTCAATAAATTGCAGTTTTTATCACACTTTGACATATATATATATATGTTTTTAATTAAGACATCTCAATAAAAGTAAAATTTTATCTAGATTGGGCTGTTTGCGTTAAAGCATTCTTCTTTTCCCTTTTCTTTCTTCTTTTCTGTAAATTACAACAGAGTATCAAATTCCCACATTTTTATCATTACTCTGCTGCTATTACTCCTGGCTAAAACCAAACCTGTCTATACCTAAATGTGTCAAGGAAGCAATTAAAAGACACAAAATTTGACGTATGACTGCGTTAGATGGCGGCCAGGTTCCGTACCCAGCCATACCACTTTTAAAAGAAGTCTGACTTCCAGCCCTCGGCCAAAACTATCATTAAAAAGATATTGAGAAAATGAAAGATGGCACTAATTAAACAGATACTTAATTCTAGAGCAGATACGACAATAAGCAGACAAGATGCCATAAACAGCCCTAGTGTGATGTCAGATTCAATGTTCTGTTTCTGAGTTAAATAAACAAGAACATTATACGGATAAGAACTCCCTGATTTGGAAACCTAGTTACTATCTATCTGGAATGTTTGCAGACCCACAGACACCTTCAGAATGGGCTCCTGTGCAGAAATGTCTGGTCACAGCAGTGATATAAGATCCAGGGAGCTGAGAAGACAATTTCAAATTCTGGAATTGTTTTGCTAACTTGCTTTAAAATATATATCAATCTTAATAGTCTTAAACACATAAAATGTATTGCTATACCATTATATGCCATTGAATATGCCACTTTTCTTGTGTTTTACAAATAGACAACCTGTAGTCCCTGCTCATAAATTAGGAGTAATGAGAGTTGCAATCCATCAACAGGTACATGTTACAACACAATATTTACTATTTAATTTTCATGTATTTCAGTGATTGCCGAGCTTTGGCACCTAGGATGTTGTGGACTTTGTTGATCATCATGGCCAGTCAACAATGACAAGTAGATCAACCTGAAGTGGCTACTCTGGTGCCTTAATTTGGGACTGTCCCTTCTAACTCAGGACTGTTGGCAGCTATCATAACCCACAACAGGTGGCAAAGAATGACAATCAATGTTCTATATGATGATACTATAATAATAGTTATAATGGCTGATAAAACAAGGAACAAGAAGTTATTTTTACTAATATGTTTTGCCTTTTACCAGTCGTACACATTTTGTTAGTCTTTTTGAACTTTAATTGTTATATGTGAATGTCCAGATAGGACTGGTGGATGTATATAAAATAAAACCAGAAAACGTCCCATTTGAAAACAACAGGATTATTAATTGGGAATTCAAAGGGAATTTAAACTTAAGGTCAAAGTAGCTGGTTTGGAGAATGTTTACATTTTGGGTATTTTAATATTACATTTAAAATCCACTTGGAATTTTCACCAATTCTTACTCATTTCAATGTGTATTTATAAGGGATCTGTGATCAGACATATATTTTTGATTATGTTGCATTCATTTTAACCTTCTGACAACAACACAACGCACACGGCAGTAGTTGAATAATATTTAATAAAGTAACATAATACATCTTCCTCTAAGGTACAATACTACTAAAACTATTAATGTAGCTAAAAGTCAAAAGAATTCATTCACAGCTCGGTCACAACAAGGAATGCTACTCTCCAAATTCACTATTCGCCTACTTGCATATAGTCACACGGATGACTTGAATTCACTTGAATCATTTTTGAGGCATTTAAGGTAGACGGGGTGTTGTAGTAAGCTTTGTAGGAACATAGATAAATAAAGCAGCTATAGGTTCCTTCTTACTTCATCTGTTTGTTGGCTTATTATTGCTGAATTCTGCCGACTTTAGAGGATAATTGTCTGAATTTCACTCCTTTGATTGATTGAGTTCAGTGAATTGACTACCAGATCTCTTGGACATTTGTCATCTACAAAATAAGTCATCTTTAAAATATGAATGAATCACGCGCATCTCTACGGGAAATATATGTTTTTTCTACCTGTAATTTTTAAACACTTGTTAAAATAAGAAAAGCTAGGTATTCTACAGGTCAACTGATTACAATGTTTAAATCACATAGCAATACATTAATCGTGCAAACACATCAGTATTAATATAACATATAAAGGAAGGAGAGAGATATTGCTGGTATGACTGGTTCAATGCATAACCAAAATATCCCAACCTCTCTTCCCTGTTCCCCCAAATCTACACCCTCCTATTGAGAATAATAAAGGTTTCTTTTTGGGTGAGAGAGGGGAAATAGCTGGAGGGAGATAAAGGGGTAGTGAAAAACTCACAGGTTTTACAATTTCAAAGTCAGGTAGTTGGCAGAGGGGCAAATGGTTTATGGGGATGGAGAGGGCAACAAGGGCAGGAGGTTGATATAGTGGGGAAATGGCTGCAAAGGAAACATATGAAGGCGTTATAGATGGGAAAAAATATTAGTTCCACTACCTATATACATTAAACCCATTCTGATTTTGTGGGTTTCGAAGTTGTGTTACTCTCAGATTGAGTTGAATTCAACAGACTGGGATCACTGGAATGTTCTTTTTTACAATGTAACTGTCTTTGAATGATGGTGTGATGCTCGCTTGTATTTGCACTGCCACTAGGTGGCGTGATGCTAACCTGCCAAGGACATGCCTTATTGCTGTTGGTATTCATGTTGGACTTTCCCATTTCTTGATTGGAGTTGTCTGTTTGAAAAGAAGCGGTTTCTCCCTCGCAGGACGGCAGAGAATGAGAGTCTCCTTTTGCGTGTACACTGATTTTCCGACTGAGGTTGTTGGAAGGACAATCGGAATACGAGATCATTTGCTCGGGCGTTTCAGATAGTTTTGCATTTGGAGGCGTGTTGGAGCAACAACCACCTTTCATCGAATCGTTTTCCAGTAACAACAGCTGTCTCCTAAAGGTCTCGGATTGTCTTTTTCTGTGAATTACTTGAATTAGATCTAGCATGCCTAGTACAAGAGATACTGCACTGGTTGCCCAGATAAAAATCATCACTAAGGATTTTTCCGTTGGTCTTGAGATGTAACAATCAACACTGCTTGTACAAGGGGACTGGGAGCAGCTAAACCGCTTTGGAACTAAGATTCCGTAAAGAAAATACTGCCCGGCACAGAATCCGGCCTCAATCGAAGTTCTCAAAAGAAGATGAATGGTGTAGGCCAAGGAGAAATCAGGAATCTCCATATGCAGACCTACACTATGATAACAAGGGGGGTCATCTTTCCTGTAGTGATCATTTGTGACGGTCATGTGTTTCGTCGCCTTGTTTAAAACGTGGACGCAGAACAGGGCATAAGGTAAAAAGACAATCACGGTCTGAATAAGCCAGTATCTCATGTAGGAAACAGGAGAGAAGATATCGTAGCACACGTTGGCACAACCAGGCTGCAAAGTATTGCAGACAAACCTCTCCTGCTCATCTTGGTAGAGCGGGTATCCAGCAAACACTGCCATCGCCATACGAAGCAATACCATTATCGTCAGCCAAATCTTTCCTGCAATACAATATAATCATTATTATTCAGACAGTGGATTGAAACGTCCCTGCACACAGTGACTAGATGTAGTCTTTATGCAAAAACTGGCTTGCAAAGGATTGTGGATGTTTTATTTTGGTAACACCTACTGAAGTGTGAATTCTGGAAAATGAAATGAGAACTTAAAAGTTTGGAACCAAAACAGCTAAAATTAAAATGTAGCTGACTTTTTGGTTATTGTGGCCTACAATTTTAAAATTCACTTGAATCTACTTAGCATCCCTGAGAGTTTATACTTCAGTGAATAATTTTGTGTGTTTTTGACTATATCTGTTGTAGGGTGGGATTTCTTTTTCAGTATCCTGTGCAACAGGACAGCTAAGAGTTATTTGTTGAAATAGCTTTTCTGATAGTTGATAGTTCATAGTGTATATAATGTTTGAAAAAGGCATAAAAGGAAAAAACAAGCATTTGTGTCTTGCTGAAGACGAGGATGATTAAGAGGGATTATTTATTTAAGCAAGGCTTTACATTACAAGTCCTACACTACTAGCCTAGCCTTAAAAGTTATGCTCCACTGCAAGCCTGAGGGGTCCATGGGGTGAATTTCTACTGTTCCACGAGTGGTAATTTCAAGCCCTATCAAAGGATTTACACAATCAGATGCAACAGCTGGTATCTAAGAGTGTCTCTTGCAGACGTGAAACACGCTTCGCTTGCTGTGTGGTATTTCTCTCAACGCCTCTTGCACATTGTGTAATCTATTCTCTTGATCTGCAGATATTGCAACATGTTTATACTTACATGGACATTTAATAAAGAGAAGATTCTATTTTCTACCAGTATTTCTCCGGTGGTGGAGTGCAACCTCTATTTGTTTAGATTGGATTTTGCCTTTATGTGCACAGCCAAGTGAGTATACAGGCATCTTTACTAGCATTTATATGCGTGTCCCATATAGTATTTTATTGCAACATCTCGCTATGGGGAAACAGTAGACTACATATTTTTGTGCAACACAAGAGCAATGGGTTCTGTTCATAAAAACACCAGTGAACACATGAGGCCAACTGAAGATCAATTTGTAATATCAAAGTTGGCCATGAATATGGACTTAGCACATCCATTGGAACCATAAAGTCCAACTTGGAATGTAGTGATTCTAAACAAAAGAATTATTCTTTCAAAACTCAGAGGTAAGCAATCCAACATTATAACAACATTTCAGATATTTTTTTAAACTATCGAGATAATGGCATCAATTTAATTTGTTTGAATCAGAATCAGAAATTATTTCAACCTGTTAGAAGAATCTTTTGTAATGATTTATCTGCAACAATTCTCATAGACTGTAATGCTGACTTCTGTAGCTAAATCATTTGAAAATATATATTTGTATAACAATTGATCATTTGAATCAGAATCAATCTATTTGTTGGTTGAGGGGGACTGAGCGATACCCCACTTAAAAATTGACCAGACCTCGGCACAGTTCCGATCCGAGGAAGCGTTCCAGATTGTTTCAGGGTATCTCCTGGTCAGGTGCTGCATGTGTAAAACAAGTTCAAGCAATACCCAGAACTCCTCAAATCAAGCTGGGAAGCACAGTAAGCCTCCAGCGTCCCCATATTTCTTCCCACAGTGACAATAGGAGCGACAAGAGTTTTTAGGAGCTCTTGCAACCAGGCCCATAGTCTGTGGCAAGGCTAGCCTTTAAGCCTCTCCAAAAGTCTGTGACACGTGAGCTTCCATCCCACACCTCTGTTGCATTATTTAGCAATAGAGGTATACCCAGAAAAGTGAAACTTTTGTTTTACAGTTTAGACCAAGAATGATTTTTGGAATAAAATCTTTAATTCAGTCAATTGGGATTTTTACCACTGTAACTATTTTTGGTTACATTTTAAATGTCGGTTGTCAACTCACCTCAATGTCCTGTTTAGTGAAAATAAAATAAAACCTTTTATCCTACACCTCTGTCACACAGCATCAACTATCCACACACAGTCATGTCTATATTAAGAGTAATTCAGCATCTTAATTTTATATCACTACATTTGAGACATTTACTGAACACACATAAACGTGTACGCATTTCTTAAAGTATACTTTTGTTTAAAATGGCAATATTTGCAAATATGCTGAAACTGATTTAAGCACATGTACATTGTTTGTATTATTGATATATGTATATTCACAATTAATGGTAGTGTCAAAATATGTCATATTATTTTAAATTATAATAGTGGCTACGAGAGGGAATCCACTTCATTCTTATAAAAATGCACCAACACAATCTAATAAACAGATACATAGCCTAAAAACATTTTATTGCATAATTTAATTAACTCCAACAACTTTAAAACTACCAGAATTTGTAATATTGACCAGTATTCATATTATACATAGTTTCCTTCATTCCTGCAGATGTCTAGTAATTAATAAACTAAAGACTAAATGCTCATGTTTACATGATTCTGGTCTGTATAACAGATGAAGCATGTAGGATTTAACATGGTATTATTCACAAATCGCAATGGGGTCTATTAACTAAACAGTGATGTTGAATGTAAACAGAATGAGCCGAAACAACAACAACAAAATCGCTGGTTGTATAGGGCTATTTACTAAAGAGTGAATTCAAAGTGAATTTCAAATTTAAGGCAAAAATAGCCAAATTATAAATTTGGGCGACTTAAAGATTATTTTTTTTTTAATTTCAGCTTTTTAGAAGATCACAATTTAAAATTCACTTCAAATACTCACTGTAACGAATAACCCTCTAAGTGTTTCCAATTCTGCTATTTCGACCTGAATTTTGTGAATTGCTAGGTAATCCAAGTGAGTTCAAACTAAATATCAAATTTTCGGCCATAATAGTTAAATTGGAAATATTCTAAGTCAGCTGCTTTTAAAAAGTTTGGCTTCTTAATCGGCAAATTTGCTAATTCACTTTGAACTCACTTTAAATGTCTTTTCAATTTACAAATTAGTTCGTAACCCTGTCATCTTTTCAAATCACCCCATTTCCATGTTTAAAAAGAAATATCTCACTGTTTCACAATTAATTTTGTTAGCAGATCTTATTCTGTTTTTTACTTACCAATTGGAGTCACATTGTAGTTGAACGTGATTATTAAAAATCCCATGGAGTCCAGATAATTCATTATCGCATAGACATTGGATGCCACCTGTCCAACGTGAATTATTTCAATGTATAAAAAAAAGAAACAGAGGCAGTTTTAGTATAATGAAGAAAGCAGGTATCTGCTATATTGATCAATAGACGGAAGGCAAAATCTGCATTGATATCAATATAAAAATTTTAAAGATACCTTTTCGAGTTTGTTCCTCTTACCTCTGTAGCCTTACTCTACTGACAACTGCTGTGAGACAAAAGGCAGCAGAAGTCATCCTAGCCACTATAGGCTATTCTTACCAACCAAATGCATTCCAGCACCCAAAAATTGTTGGAATATTTGTCGGAAAAAGAGATCACAACATGGAATGACACAAGTCTATAAATTCCCCTGGGATAAAACACAGCCTGTCTCCGAGATAGTTTGAGAATTATGGAAATCCGACTTCCTCGCAGCTCACTTTGAAATTTTAAGAAATATTTAGGTTATGCCCTAAAAGTGCAGCAATCACCATGGAAACCAATGCGTTTCTCCTTCTGATTGCACCATTTCAAAAATCATCCTCTAGAATTTATCTTTCATACATAACATCACAGAAGGAAGGTATGTAAAAAATGTTTTTTTAAATTTGTAGTCTCCCACAAATCAATTTTAAAAACAACCATCCATTATTTATTTATTATACAGTACGTTCAGGAAAATCTGCAAAGGCTTAATTATTAAAGTGTGATTTATTGCAAAAAAAAATAAAAAAAATTGTATTTCTCCAAATCAGCTATATTTTCAGTTTGGAAATTCTTGTCTTAAAATGTGAAATTTGAATTAACTTTGGAGTATGGCAAGTTACAATCTAGTAACACTGACAGTTACTGTGTCTGCCCCAGGCATGCTTGAACTCACACCTCATCTGCTGGGATGCCAATCAATGCATCCACAACTCCTTGTATAAGACAAAAGAATATAATTAAGTATTACCACTTAATGTATCCTTCCTAAGTTGAGGACACATTTTCCATAGTGCAGACACGTTTCTAGTGTATGGCTATATAAATTACATTACACAACATAACGTGATATAGATTATTATATTAATTGGTGAGAACATATACAGAACAACAATAGATAAAATGTTTAGAACAATACTTTAACAAATCAATGGTGCATATAGTGTATAAAAAAATAAAATAAATATCTCACTCTGTATTGTAAAATAACGATGTAGACATGTGTGCTATACCAAGACTATTAGGTATTTATACCTTGGGATCTAGACTTGTAGTTTGCATTTTTCTTTCTTCACTAGATTTTTGTGATTTGATCATTCCATGTGTCGACTTCTACACAATTTTACTAAATTCATTTCAAACCACATTGAAGTGAAGGATTCTGGGTAAAGATTTTATCGCTCCCACAGACTGTAAGATTTTTTGTTTGTGATATACTCTATCACGTGGATCAAGGGACGCCCCATTGGCGAATCTGAGTTCAAAGCCCCTTAAAAACATATAGTGTATATAAATTATGTCAACGGTTACCATTGTAGCATGGTTAATAATTATATTCCCTTCATGGTGACAATATAACACCAAAAATAATGGATTTAGTTTAATTTATATGAAAGTTTATTTATTAAAATACCAAACTGTGACAGATTTAAAGATGAACTGCAAAATATAGGGTAAGCTAGGGTAAAAGCTAGGGTGTCTATAGCTGAGTAGCGGAATTTCTCCAAATCAGATTTTCCTGTGAAAATTGTACAATTTGATTTTCAAATCATTACAATTTGCGGAGTTAGAAGTGGAGAAACTGCATTGTAATAAATAAAAAAGGTAATGTACCCTAAATCGCAGACTTTCGTTTATTTATATATATATTTATATCCATTCTATATCCTACTACACTTTTAGCTGCGGTCGCATTCCACTAACAGAGAAGAATGCAGCCCCATTTGTACTTACCGTTTAACAGTCAGCACCTGTTCTCTGCATTTTAAACTTAATCTGAGACGAATGTGTTAGATTTACGCTGTATCAACTATACAGACACGAGCCACTGAACAGACTGGTTTATTAACTAAATTGTGTAAAGTGCTTACTGAGTTGCAGAATTTAAATGTACTTTATAGTCAGCAGAAGAGCTACACCTTTATGTAGTGGTTATGGTGTATATAGTATGTCCATGTAGGCTTTTTAATGTAAAAATTGCCTTTTTAGAGAAAAGGCAGTGTTTACATTGCTGCCTAGTAACACCTCTAGTGTCAGTCACTCAGACGGCCACTAGAGGTGCTTCCTATCTCAGTGTTGCACAGTGCAGCTGGAGGGAGACCTGTCAGTCTCCAAGCACAATTTACCTAAATTATGGCCACATGCCCCACCCTGAACCCAAGCTCCGCCTCCTGATCTGAAGCTCCACCTCCAGCGCACAAGTTTTGCCCCGCACACACATTGCTGACCTCTCTGTAAGGAAGAGGTCACAAAATGGCAGCTTCACATACCAGTGCCAGGTAAGCTTCAGCCATGACTGTGTGTGTGTGTGTGTGTGTGTGGCTGCTAATGAGTGAGCTTGTGTGTGTGTGTGTGTGTGGCTGCTAGTGAGTGAGTTTTGTGTGTGTGTGTGTCTGCTAGTGAGTGGGTTGTATGTGTGTGTGTGTGTGTGCAGGTGGCTGCTCTGCTAGTCAGTGAGTTGTGTGTGTGTGTGTGTGTGTCTGCTAGTGAGTGAACTTGTGTGTGCGTGTGTGTGTGTGTGTGTGTGGATGGTTGTGAGTGAGCTTGTGTATGCGTGCGTGTGGCTGCTAGTAAGTGAGCTTGTGTATGTGTGCATGTGGCTGCTAGTGAGTGATTTTGTATGTTTGTGGCTGCTAGTGAGTGAGCTTGTGTGTGTGTGGCTGCTAGTGAGTGAGCTTGTGTGAGTCTGTGAGGCTGCTAGTAAGTGAGCTTGTATCTGTGTGGCTGTTTGTGAGTGAGCTTGTATGTGTGTGGCTGCTAGTGAGTGAGCTTGTGTGGGTGTGCCTGCTCCCGAGTGAGCTTGTGTGTGTGTGTGGCTGCTAGTGAGTGACCTTGTATGTGTGTCAGTGTCTGCTTCTGATTGAGCTTGTGTGTGTGTGTGTGTGTGTGTGTGTGCCTGCTTCTGAGTGAGCTTGTGTGTGTGTGTGTGTCCCTGCTTCTGAGTGAGCTTGTGTGTATGTGTGTCAGTGAGCTTGTCTGTAGTGGGCATATGTGTGTCAGTGGGCTTGTATGTTGGAAGCATGTGTGTCAGTGAGCTTGTCTGTGGTGAGCATATGTGAATCAGTGTGCTTGTCTGTAGTGAGCATGTGGGTGTCAGTGAGCATGTGTGTGTGACAATGAGCTTGTCTTTAGTAAGCTTGTGCGTGTCAGAGTTTATCTGTACTAAATTTGTTTGTGTACCAATAAGCTTGTCTGTGTGTGTCAGTGAGCCTATTTCTGTGTGTCAGTGAGATTGTCTGTCTGTGAGCCTATGCATCAATGAGCTTTTTTAGCGAGTTTGTCTGTGTTTGCATGTGGGTATGCTTACTGAATAATAAAATGTTTTACTCTGAAAGGACCAATATTTTCAATTAGAAAAATAAATATACCAATAATATTATGTAAGGCTATGTCTTGCCACCCCAGATGATTGAGTAGTATATAAGCACACACAATATATATATCATCTGGGGTGGCAAGACATATTACATATTATTGGTATATTTCTTTTTCTAATTTAAGATATTGGTCTTAAATTAGAAAGGAGGATAAATATATATCACACACAATACATGGCAGAATGACTTATGGGGCTGGCATAGATTTTTTTTCCAGGGCTACTTTGTATCCCCAGTCCGGCCCTGTATTTAATCTATATTTTGAAAGTCAGCTGTCCAACCCCTGCAAAGCACTGTTTAGCAAATAAACCCTAAATACATACTTATCTTAATAAAGAATGCAACATGAATGATGTTTCACATGGCCCAAAATTGTCAAGTTCTTAGTCAACTCTAACTCACAAATACAGGAATAGTGGATACATATCTAGATTGTAATGGTCCTCAACTCCCCCTGTAGTGTAGTTTGTCAAAGTTTGTCTTTTTTACTTACACCAATTGAACCCATGTACAGCGCTGCAGAATGTGTTGGCGCTTTTACAATAAAGTAAAATAATAATAATAATAATAATAAATGACTGTAAGAAAGTAGAACAAATCCTTTACAAAAATTAGAACATTCTGTTGAATTGCAATCCATAAAATATTTTTTTGCGAATATTGCAACTAATTAAAATTTCCACTTATACTGTACGACATGCTTCAATTAAAAATATATTAATTAGTTAATTGAATAATAGTGGATAAAGATTGCAATTTCAGCAATAAAAATGAAAAACAGGAGAGGACCTAATGCGCTGCATGTAACTAATTTGTTACGCACTGAAAGGCTTCTCCCTTTGGGTGACTTGGATGTGTGCAAGATCTTAACACTGAAATGGTTAAAGCCTTCTCTCCTCTATTTATGTATAAGCAGTGTAACTGGTTTTTGTCGCCTTCTACCTGTTTATCTCTCGTGTGCCTTTGGGCTATCTCTGTCACTGCTACGTGTCTCCTTTCGGTTCATCCCTGACCCATTCATCCGTCATAATTCTATCGCCTTTTTCCAGACTCCCTAGAGGACTATAAATTGGATGAAGGGTCAGAGCTCTACTGTACAATAGGAGAAATTCTTGCTAATCCTGGCAGTATGCTCAGCATCCTTTTAGTGTGATGCTTTTCACAAGGATAGAATATTTTTACATTAAGAAAAAATACCAGAGGTGAAATCAAAGGTTATAGGACTCAGAAGGTTTAATCCACGAGTTATATAGGTTCTTGTCCTTTATCTTTCAGCTTGTCTATAAGTGGGACAAACAGGCTTTGCAAGAACTAAGCTTCCATAAAAATATTTATTTTGTAAATATTATCTGGGTCCACGAGAGGGTAGATGAGTGTATTCCTTGACACGCGTATAATAATGAGAGCAGATCAGGATATTCTATGAAATGAAGTAAATTCTGAGGATAGTGGAGTGTCTGCAAATTGAATTGTAAGTGTAGAACTGTCCTAAGATGTTTTGACTTGATTTGGCAAGTGAGTTTACACTTTAATGGCAACTGGAGTGATACAAAAAATCATCCAGTTATTTAAATGTGCATAGAGAATTGGAATAGAGCGCAAGTAACTTTAAGAAACATTTTTTTTTTTTTTGTATG